ATTTGTGGACCTGGATATTATTACCTACCAAGGTAAACACTGATTTCACATTGACAATTAAGCCTGAGTCCAGACTTAAAATTATCTTGTTTATTAGATAACTGAAATGCCACTACTCTTCCATTAACTCCTGAATGATCTTTCCACTTTGAGCGTAAAATTCTTTATCAAATTCTCTGGAAGATCACAACTATTACTGTGTTTGAAACTACAGTGTATTTTAAAATATGAGTCTAAAGAAAGATTACTGAAATAGAAAACCTGACACTTTTATTGAGAGAGTACATACCATCAGGCACCGGTTTCTTACTGAAGGAGAGGAATAGGTACCATTCTGCTCTGACTTGTCTCCTATAAAGTTCATGTTCCCCACTAACACACTCCTCCTACAAGTCAGACAAGTTCACCAATACATACATGGAACGTCTGTCTACTGTTTCCATGTGATTCACAGAATGTTACTCTATATAGGTAAAACATAACCTTTGTTTCTGTAGCTTAAAATTTTCTATTTTCACCACTGTGACATTTAATTGAGTGACAATTATCTTAGATCAAAATTCCAAAATTTAAGTCTTTCTCTCTGTCAAGAAGTTAGGTAATTCAATTAATTTAAGAAGGAAATACTCAGATTTTACTGTCATAACTGACGTTAAGATACCAAATGAGATAAGGAGCATAATACAAGAAGGTAACTGATCTATGTGCCTGATACTTCTTCCCTTTAAACTAAAGACTCAGCTCTTAGAAAAGAAATTATGTGTATACTGAGCCATACTGTGTTGAAAAACAATGTCAAATTTAATGACACCTCAAGCAATAGAAAAATGTACTTTTCTCTTACCACTTAAATTTTTTTTATTCAGAGCTAGGAAGAGCATAGAGGAAAAAGGTTTAAGGATGTTACCCTTGAGGATCAACAGACATTAGTTGTCAAACATATTTAGTAAACTTTAAACTACTAATATATATTTTATTAATAATGCAGGTCTGGAAAAACTTGTACAACAAACGTGACTGGCAATGTTAAGCTTAAAAAGAACACACAAACAAATAAAAATCAAACACACCTCCACCACATCTTTTGTTTAAGCTTTATATAAAAGCTGTACTATAAATACAAAGGTGAATTATTTGAGTACTAACAACATTTTATACACAGAAACTTAACAGTAATAAAATACAAATACATAAGATGCTTATTTTTGGTCCTTTTGAAAAAAGAACTAAGATAGTTTCTTTTTTTACACGGCTCCAGGTCCAAATATAGATTCTAAGTTGGAAGTTGCAGCATCGTTAGCGACTATTCTTGAAATTCTTTAAATGTCACCAGTCATGATAGCAATGAATTCCTCTTGATTTACTGTGGTAAGGAAAAAGTGTAATAGTCAGAAACACAAATATTAAGAGCATGCTACATTATTGCACTAAGTATTTTTTAATAGTACTAAGTATTTTTTTTAATTTATTCAAATTGTTAATAAATCAAAACATGGCTTGTTGCTTTTATTTCTATGCTAAGAAGTGAAATGTGTTTATTACATAGAGCTGTGAATACAAAAATACATAAAAAGTAGTAAACAGCATATAAATTAGTATTCTATAATATTAACAGGAGCAAAGGTATGGCTCACAAGACATTCAAGCATAGTGATATTTCTACATACTTGCTAAAGTGCTTTAAAAAGCTTGAAAATTTTAACTTCTCTAAGTGTCAGGAATGGTCTTCACAAATATTTGTTATGCATCAAAAGCTAGACAATGACTAGGGATGACAGAGAATTGATGCCTTTGGGTTGTGGTGCTGGAGAAGAGTGCTGAATATACCATGGACTGCTAGGAAAACAAACAAGTTTGTCCTGGAGAGGGAGAAAACTGGATGCTCCTTGGAGACAAGGATTCTGAAGCTTCATCTGACATACTTTGGGCATGTTCAGGGAGGAACCCGGTCCTGGAAGAGGGACATCATGCTTGGGAGGGTAGAGGGAAAGTGCAGGAGAAGAAGATCCTGGAGGAGATGGATTGACTCAGTGAGTGGGGTAATATGTCTGGATATGTCAGATACAATGAGGTTGGCTCAGGATAGAGCAGGCAGGGTTCAGAGCTGTTGTATACAGGGTCGCTGTAAGTCACAAGTGACTTGATGGCACTTACCAAGTGTCAAAAAATGCCTTTTCAAAATCTTTATTCTACTACTTCACTTAGCAAACCTTTTGATTTTAACCTTAAAATATTATGAATAGTAACTACTGGAATCCTAAATAATGAAAACTATTAGCATTAGAAAAAATAAAACTGTTTTGAAAACTTTGCTACATTAAAAAAACATTTTCAAGGAAAAAGGTCATCAAAGCCAGTTTAGCACACCTCAAACAAAAAGTATCAATGGAAAGGCACTAAAAAGATATATAAGAATTAATCTTAATTAGAAAGAGAATACAAATATTAAATTATATGAAATATAAGCATAATAAATAGCCATAAAGACCAATAGTTACTTAAATTACAGGTAAAATTCAATTAACACTTCACACTTAAAAAACATTTTTAAAACAGCAATTTAAAATAGAAGATAATCTTATTAAATATGTTTTTTTAAAACCCAAGACACAACACATGTACACAACCAACCAATAACTAATTAAAGCATTTAGAAAAGAATGCTTCCTTTTCAAAATCCAGGTGGATCTGAGTCCCAAGTTGAAAACACACCTTAAAGAGGCACAAGTTATGAGTTAGAAGTTGATAAAAGCAAAGAACTCTGCACTTAAAAAGACCAGGATTCCAGTCTTAGTGCTAACACAAAGCAGATCTGTCTAGTTTTCTTCAGCACAAAGTACTGAATTACCAAATAAATCTTTTGGGCTGTTTCTAACTCTTAAATACCCTATATGAAAATATAGGAAAAAAACTCCATTAACTGAAACATTTTTTAATTTCCTACTGAGTGCTCAACAGCACTAGGTGGTGTGTATTAGAAAACAAGCATCAGGGGTTTTCTGGAATATCTTAAAACTGAAATGAGGAAGATAAACTAAATGCCTTCGAACTTTATTTTATAGCCTACTCTATCAACAGTATCTGTACCATAAAGTTCCTATATCTAATAAGTCTAGTACAATACTTAGTATAAAAATAAACATTTGATAAAACGTATGTTAAATCAAATGAATTAGACACTTTATTTTCTTTATACTCTTAGCAAAATTCACTCTCATTTTTATATTATACTCTTAGCAAAATTTACATAAACCTCTCATTTCACAGGGTAAATCTTATTACAGGTGACAAACAAAGAATTTTAGAGAACTAAGTAGTTTAAGCACCTTAGAGACCATCTGGTTTCAGAGGGGAAGAAACAAATTTTACCATCTAAAGTGCCAGTGGAATATTTTGCTAACACATTGCTTCTTATAATAGCATGTATGTTTTTTAAAAATTCATAAACACAGAAGCCTAATTAATACTTTACTTCACAGATGAAGAGACAGTACAAAGAATGCAGAGTTAAAAACAGGTACTTTGTAAATATAGGTATCAGATAATTTGAGTTCTGGCTTTGTCTGATAACCATGTTTAGTTATTACTCTCTCAGTTTTGCTTTCTTCATCTACATATGCATGTATCCTAAATATGTATAGGATACCAAACTGTTAGACTTAGCTTCAAAGAAGCTATTATGAAAATTAAGTGACATAATCCTCACTTGTAACTTGCTAACCATGTTGTCTGTAGATGTCTCTGAATCAACACCAATTCCTAACCCCATACAAAACAGAGCAAAACCCTGACTTATCCTGCACCTTGTTCACTATCTTAGCTGTGCAACACTACTGCAGTCACTGTATGTATGTATCTATCAATTGAGCGATCAATCAATCATATTGAGTCATAAGCCTTTCAGTCACTTCTTCACTGATAGTCCACTTTTCCAAATATGATGCCTTTTTCCACATCAAACTCTCAATTCCAACTACTGGGGACCTTACACTGGGTTTTTAAGTCTGTAAATCTTTACATGAAGAAAATGTCTTCTCCTTAAAGCAGCTGGTGTGTTAAAACTGTCAACTTTCTGGTTAGTAGTTTGAACTGTTACAACTACTTCTTGTTGTGTGCTGTAGAATTGGAATCAACCCATAGCTGACCCTCCAGTGGGATTTCAGAGGTAACTAATTGTAAGAGAGAACACTGCCCATCTTTCTCCTGAGGAGCTGCTGATTGGCCTCAAACTGCATCTCCTTTATCTAATATATCAACTCAACTAAACTCACAGCCGTCAAGCCAGAATCAACTCATAGCTGACACTCCACAGTGGGTTTTCAGAGTCTGTAAATGGGACCGGAGAAAGTTGCCCATCTTTCTCCCACAGAGGAGCTAGTGGATTCAAACTGCCTGTCTTTGGGGTGGCAGCACTTCTTACCCATGAGACCACTGCTATTGTGTGCCATAGAGTCAGAGATGACTCACAGGTGACCCACCAGTTGGCTTTCCAGAGGCAATCATCTCACAGGAGCCCATCTTTCTTAAACAAAATTGCAGGCAGATTCAAAATGCATGCCTTCAGGATTGGAGAGCTTCTCACCACTAGGCCACCAGAGCCTGTGAGGGCACTAACGCTTCCTAAAATGTTATAGCTGGGGGCATAATATTTATTGTTGTTACGTGCTGTCGAGTCGTTTGTGAGTCATAGCAATCCTATGTACAAAACCTCTGAAACATGAATGGATAGAGAAGCTCTGCTATATTCACACAATGGAATACTACGCTGCATTGAAAAACAAGGAACTCATGCAATATTATTCAAAATGGGTGACCCTGGAGGACATTATGTTTAGTGAAATAGCTCAGTCACAAAGGGACAAATGCTATATGGTGCCACTGTTGTAGAATGAGGCTGACATCAAGATAGGGGTAAGACTAAGAAAAACTGGGTAAATTATGTATACTGCATTGAAGCCGATGAGGGAGAGAACAGTTTAAAAGTAATATATTTTAGGGCATTATGATTATCATAAGAGTTCAGAGTGAGGGTTGCAGAATGGAGTATACTCCGGGTGAGGGTGGGGAGATACGGGGGGGACTGTGTACCAATGAAGGAGTTTTTCTTTTGCTTTTCAAGGAGAAGAGCAAACTGGGGGTGGGGGTGCGGTGAGCGGGGAGAAAAGTGCAACAATGAATAAATGGAAATCCAAAAATCTCTGGAAATGTTCATGGAAATTAATTAAAAAACAAACTCTGAAATCTGCTCTGTCCTGAGCCAGGCTCACTAACTTCGACAAACCTACCCCCCACTGCCCTAGTTACTGCATCAATCCATCTCATCCTAGGTCTCTCTTCTGCGCTTTCCATCCACCCTTCCAAGAATGTTGTCATTCTCCAAGGACCGATCTCTCCAGGCCACATGCCCAAAGTAAGTGAGGTGGAACTTTACTTGGTTTTAAAGACAGACCTATTTATTTTCTTGACAGTCCATGGTATGTTGAAAACTCTTCTCCAGCACTACAATTCAAAGGCACTGATTCTTTTTCTTTTATCCATCATTATCCAGCTCTCTGATGCATAGCAAATAACTGCAAAGACTATTGCCTGGATCAGGCATACCTTAGTCTTTAAACTAACATCCTTGCTTCTCAGTTCTCTGGAGTACTATCTAACAGCAGATTTTTCCCAGTGCAATTCGTCTTGATTTCCTGAATGCTGGTGCCAACAGTGTTGATTACTAAACATTGATGATATTTAGAACTGCTAAATTTTTGCTATTACTATCTTCACTTTTTATTTTTACAATGGTCCATTTTGGCTTCTATAATGTAACTTGTTACAATATTAACACTGTTACAACGTTAGCAGTGTAACAAGATAAGAGTTGTACATTGATTTAAAATGTAACAGAGAAAGAGGAAAATGTTTTAAGCATATAAATCTTTACACAATGAAGCACATGGAGGTACTCTGAAAACTACAGAAAGAGCAATCAAACTGGGGATGCAAGTTTCACATCTTAAAGGGCTTAAGAGACAGCTTAACTGACATTTCGTTCCTAAATGTCAAATGAAACTAATAAAAATCAATTAAAATATGCCCAGTAAAGGGGAAAAAATGTTTTAACTCTGATCTTTTGACTCTTACTATGTAAGATGCTTTAGAAGTGTGCCTTTGAAGGTAAAGATGATAATAATCAAAATGGAGAGATGACGTGGGCTTTCTGTATGCTGCCAATGATTACTGTGCTCAGAAGCCAACCAAAAGATTCAGGGTTTAAGTCCACTCAGAAGCATCTCAGAAGACACACTTGGCAATTCTAAATAACTGCCCACTGAAAACCCTAGACATCACAATCCTATGCTGACACATAAAGAGTACTAAGACAGTTTGTTCCCCTACCTTTTAGAGCTCTATTTCCTCTAAATTCAACAGCAACTGGTTTTCAGGTTTTTAAAATACATTGTTGTTGTTATGTGCCGACGAGTCTTGCGACTCATAGCGACCCCATGTACAACAGCCCTAAACCGTGCTCTATCCTGTGCCAATCTCATTGCCTCTGACACACCCATCCCGAGTACCCCAGTCACTGAATCAATCACCTCATAGAGGGTCTTCCCCTCCTGTGCTGTCCCTCCACCCTCCCAAGCATGATGTCCCTCTCTAAAGACCTGTCTCTCCTTACAACATGTCCAAAGTATGTCAGACGAAGCCCCAGAATCCTTGCCTCCAAGGAGCAGCCTGGTTTAATCCTCTCTACGATGAATCTGTTTTCTTGGCAGTCCATGGTACATTCAATACTCTTCTCCAGCACCACAGCTCAAAGGCGTCACTTCTCCTTCTATCCTCCCTAGTCATTGTCCAACTCTCTGATGCATAACAAGTGATTGCAAAAACCATGGCCTGTATCAGGCAGACCTTAGTCTCCAGAGAGACACTGTTGCTCTTGAGTATTTTGGAGAGGTCCCTAACCGCAGACTTTCCCATCGCAATACATTTTTTGATTTCCTGGCTACTGGTGCCAAGAGTGTTGACCGTGGAGCCGAGCAAACTGAAGCTGTGAACAATCTCAATCTCTTCACCATCCATCCTGATGCTACCGAATGGTCCAGTGCTGAGAATTTTTGTCTTCTTGACATTGAGCCTCAGTCCATATTGAAGGCTGCAGTCCTTGACCCTCTGCAGTAAGTGCATGAGATCCTCCTCAGTTTCGGCAAGTAAGGTTGTGTCATCTGCATAAAGCAGATTGTTGATAGATCGTCCACCAATCCTAACGCCACGCCTCTCCTCATAGAGCCCCCGCCTCTCATATAATCTGCTCTGCATACAGGTTGAAAAGGTTATGGAGACAGGACACATACTGGTACTTATCTACTGCAAAACACATTCCTGTGCAAGGCTTTAAGTCAACAAATATTTGAAAATTCATTATGTTCATGAAAAAGATGAAAGAGAAAAAAAAAATAAGCTTCAATTTACTGCCAGTACTTTCTAGTATTTGGAAGCCAGAGTGGCATCCTCCTCCTAAACAACGTGCCTCTGGACACTATGAACTTTAATAAATGACGATAGTTATAGGAAGGCATTAGACCTTTCGTTCGTAGGGTCACTATGAGTTGTGCTCAACTTGACGGCAATCAGTAACAACAACCTTCTAATACCTTCAATCAACATCCACAATCATCATGGAACATTATTGCTGCTGCTTTGTGCTGTTGAATCAATATCAACTCACAGTTGATACAGAACTGGCTCATAGGTGACTGATCCTCCAGTGGGTTTTCAGAGGCAGTAAAGTGCATGAGAGAAGAATGCCCAACTTCCCCCCATAGAACAGCTGATAGATTTGAACTATATGCCTTTGGATTGGCAGCTGAACTCCTTTATCACTAGGCCACCGGAGAACTCTCAAAGGATATTATACCAACTTCATTTTCAGAAAAAGGGACAGAATTTGGTGGGCAGGGGGAGGAGGTGAAGGAATTGGGAAAGAGCCAGTGTAAAAAGGTGGGGTAATGGATCAAAGGTAATTCATTTTATAAAACACAATGTAGGGGAATGATCATACAAAACACAATGTGCAAAGGAATGCGTAAAACACATGTAAAAAAACACAATGTATACAAATTTTTTATGCAAACTCGATAAATATAATTGTTTAAAAAGGGTGGAGGGGAATGGAATAGACTTAAGGATTTCCTAAAACAATTATGCAGTACTTAAAACGAAAGAAATTGAGTGCAAAGGCAAGGCTACACACTTCCAGAGCCTTAAATTCATCTACATGATCATTTCCTACAATTCTACATAGCTTGTAAGGGCTTAAAATATTAACTGAAGTGATTTTAAAAAGCAAAACAAAGCCAAACTCATTGTCAACCAACTCATAGCTGAAACTTAGTGGGGTTTCAGAGACTGTAAATTGCACAGGAGGAGATTGTCTTTCTCCTTCGAGAAGCTGGTGGTGGATTCAAACTGAGAGGTGCTGCTGTATGTGAGCAACACCAACTCCCTATGCCACCAGGGCTCCCTCAGCTGGAGTGATAAACATGTATGTAACAGAAGGCAGAGTATGACAGGTATCAAAATAGTTTGTTCCTTTAAATTCTGTGGATCTTCAGTGGACATCCATAAGTCAAACCTTTCAGAAAGACTTTTGAGAAAAACATGGTACTAAAAAAAAATGTACCCAGAAGAATGACTAACATCTTGTTGCTGTTGTTATGTACTACTGTCAAGTTGGAGCCTACTCAAAGTTAACCCTCCAAAGGGTTTTCAGAGGCTACCTGAGCGCTCTGATTAGCATTTTAACAGAAAAGAAAAACAACAACAACAACAACAAAAAACCCCAGAAATGGACTATGGAACAACAGGGAGTACAGCATTAGAAAGTTTTCAGGATAGAGCATTCTGCCAAAGTGGGTAGAGATAAGAGTAAAAAGTAGAAAAGCAGAAGAATGTAGTGGGAAATAAAACTGGTTACTTTAGCAGTTCACAGAAGGCTTTGACCTTTACTATGTAGAAGTGAAGGGTCAGAACAGAAAAATAATACTATCAGCTCTGTATTATAGGCAAAAGACTGCCATCAGTCAAATGAAGAGAGAGACTCGTGGCTTTTAGGCACAAACTGGGAGGCTACTAGCAGACTGTAAATTCCATGAGGACAGGGACCATATATTGCCTTTTTCACTGATGTAGGACTGGTCAATGCATAGGATATCACAGCAAGGATAAAGAAAAAAATAAATTAAATGATGCTACTATAGCATTTCTGGAGCTCTGGTGGTCTAGTGGTAAGCAGCTATACTGCAATCCCAAAGGCACACAGTTAAAAAACTACAAGCAGCTCGGTGGGAGGATAGGCAATTTCCTTCCAAGTGATTAACTGCTTCTGAAAACCCACTGGAGGGTCAGCTATGGGTCAACTTCAACTTGATGTTACACAACAACATACATTTCTAGGAAAAAATTAGGGTGAGGACTAGGGTAACACAGTGGTGAAATAAAACAGAATGAAAACAATTTAAGAGTAGAATCAACAAAGCTTTGTAACAATGTAGAAATGCAAGTAAACTGAAAAAGAGTAAGATGCTAATGGCTAAAATTTTTACTGAAATCTTGGAGATATTTCAAATTGAGATAAACTCAATACCTCGTTGACGTGTGGAACCTCAGAATACCATCTGTAGAGCAAAATTTTAAGCTTTCCTTTATTCTAAGTTGAATATGTAAAATGTTTACACAAAGCCCATTATGAGACGAACAAAAAAAGAGTTTGCAAAGGGTCTTGAAAACCATTTGGACTTAGAAAAATTTACAATGTATGTATCATCAAGATATGTTTTATTCAAAACTTACTTTCTCCATCACCATCTTTATCAAATTCTTCTATCATTGCCCGAAGTTCTTCATCACTCATATTCTCACCCAGTTCTCGGGCAACACGTCGCAAATTCCTCAAACTTATTTTACCAGAATCATCATCATCAAATAGTTTAAATGCCTTCAATATTTCTTCATGTGGATCTCTCTCCAATATCCAGTCTGTCACTATAGGGTTTGTGGATTTAAAAAAAAAAAAGCAGAAAAAGAAAAATCTTCATAATCTGTTTCACTGAACAGTTAGCTGGGAATTAAAAGCTGAAAACAATTTCACTATTTAGTCTCACAACAAAATGACAAATTAGTGCCCCAATACCTGAAGAGATAACTCTGAAATTAGAAAGACCAAAATGTATTTAAAACTTTACATCTTTATACTAATTTATCATACAAAAAGGAACTTTCTATCACAAAGTCAAATTCTGAAGTTTTACATATATATGCACCCATACCACATTTACATAGTTTCCTACTATTAAGAATTCAACTATGCTCCACTGACATCCAGCACATATGTTGAGGTATTTGTAATCTAGCTGTGCAATGAGATACTGGCATAGTCTGTAGGGAGCTGCAATGCTAACCCAAACGCCCCATGCCTGTTTGGTGGTCCACCACAGTGCCTAGCTGGTCCACCAACTGCTGGAGGTAAAAGGATTGGCAATCTTTTCCTACATGACTTACAGACTCAAAAACACAATGGAGGGTCAGCTATGATAAGGTGGTTCCAACTCAATGACAATGCGTTTTTTTTAATTTAAGATAAAAATATTGTTTGGCTATAATTCTAGGGCAGATTCTTCCTCAAAGTTAATCCTACTTAAAAGAAAATAAAACCGGTTTAACAAAACATAATGACATCACTAATAGAGGCAAAATGAAAATTCCACTGATATCTTCATGTTTCAGCATGGAAAAACCTGTTAGTTTTCTAAAATATGGGAAGCCATAAAAAGGACTGAATCAGATTGTAGGAAGAAAATTTAAAAACCAACCAACCAACCAACCAACCAACCAACCAACCAACGAACAACCTTTGGAAAGGAACCATCTCTGAAGTCATATTCATACGATTTTGCAAGATAATTTTCAGATGTTGTTGTTATGTGCCAAGTTGCCTGCAACTCATAGCGACCGCAAGTACATTCGCTCTGAAAGCTGCCTTATCCTGTGCCAAACTCATCATCTTCAACAGCCCTAATTATCTCACTTCTCCAGTCACTAAGTCAATCCATCTCACTGTGGGTCTTCCTCTGCTGTGCTGTCCCTCCACCCTTCCAAGCATGATATCCCTCTCAAAGGATTGCTCCCTCCTGGCCACATGGCCAAAATATGTGAAATGGAGAGCCTCAAAATCCTTGCCTCCAGGGAGCAAACTATAGTCTCACCCTCTCCAGGACTAGCAGATAGCTAACTAAAAATATGTAAAAATAATTATACACCTCAAGAGTTTAATAAACTAATTACTAAAATATGCTAATAACAAAATAATAAACTTGGACAGTATTTTCACATTATTAATGTTCCAATAATCAATGCAAATTGAGGTAAAATATGTTGTATAAAATTTTTCTTTTTTTTACATTTTATTTGTTTATTTATTTATAATTTGGTGTGCCGTTGAATTGGATCCGACTGGCACAGGAGTGGTTTGCCCCTCCTTCTTCAGTAGAACATCTGGTGGATTCGAACCATGCATCTTCTGGATTGCAATGCAGCTTCTTGCCTGTAGGCCACCAGAGCTCCAAAATTTTTCTTTAAAAAAAAAATACTGTGGCTTGAGCAAAAGTTTACAAAGCATATTGTTTTTTTCAATCCTTCATGCACATATTGTTCCATAACATTAATTGCAGTACCTGTGATGACTGATGGTCCATTTATTCCATATTGTCTTTCTTTTCACCTAATTTAGTGATTGTTGTTGTTAAGTGCTATTGAGTCAGAACTGACTCACAGCAAGTTTTAAGAGGCTGTGAATCACATAAGAGGACTTGAACCAACTATCTTTGGGGTGGTAGAATAACTCCTTACCAACAAGACACCAAAGCATCCTTAATTAGGAGATTATTTATTTTCTGTCCCTTTCCTCCCCTCTTAGAATGGTTCTGTTTGTAGACTTTTCTTTAGCTTCATATTATAGTGATCTTCTATTTGTTGTCTGGGGACTAATTCCTTTTACTCCACATAGTCCTTGGAGAAACAATGAAAGTTATACACGTGTTCAGGTCTTTCATTCGTAGGGTTGCTTTGAGTCATCTACGACTTGATGGCACTTAACAACGAACAACAGATCCATAAAAAGTTCCAGTGCTAAAAAGGTCACCAGGAAATGACAGGTAACCTCCTCCTGAAAAATTTACAACCGTGAACATCCAATGAAAGTTAGCCCTGAGCTAGTTTCAAATAGACAACAAAGAGAAAGTTGGATTGAAATAAAATTCTTAAAATATATTAACATCACTGAAGTAAGCCAATATGCTGGTCTAGCTCTACAAAACAAGGTGTTTACGACTTCTACTATGCCATTAAAAATTACCTGTTGACGTTTACAAAATCATGAAAAACTTATATCTATAAATGGATTTTGAACATTTAATGAATCTAAAAGGAAAGATTATAATTCAAAGTTCTAATAATAGCTACTGTTGTTTTGTTATTAGAACCTACTTAGTTGATTGAGCTTCAAAGTAAGTATCTATTCAAGCTAATGTTATACTAATGATTATTCAATAGTTTTCTTTTATCCATTAATTTTATCCAAAAAGTCTTCCAAGTAACTAATTGAAGTATATTACTATAAGCATGCAAATCATCGAGGCTTATAAATATTCAGTCAAAAAGCAGTTGGCATATATACAGCCATAAAACCAAAATAAAATACCACACTTAACTCAGTGGCTCATACTCAACTTATTTTGAATTTAGTCCCAACAAAAAAACAGGACAGGGGGAAAAAAAGTGTTAAGAAATTTTCTTCACCAATTAAATAATTTACATGACAGGTGAACCAAAAAAGCAGCTTGCTGAAAGTATTAATGTACTTAAAGAAGCAACAGGGTGATCTTGAGAACAGATGGGGCTCCAAGATGTATAAATTCTTATCCTACTGGTGCTTTAATTGTGCTAGTTATTTCAGACTATGTGTCTGTGTCACATTTTTATCAATACTCTGCCCTAGAATGCTGCTTTTCTTAGGAACTAGACATTGCCATAATTCTGGACAGTTAAAATATTACCTACTATATACCTTTTTAATGATGAGCCTACATGCCCACATATCCTATTCTTGTTCTATGCTGTTTTCTCAAAAGAAATAAGCCCTTTCTTAAAAGACATACAATCCTATCAACTACTTCAGAAAATTACAAACATGTTAACGTAACATCAAATGATTTAATGATAACAACTGGCATTTCATCAAAAGAAATGAACCTTATAACTGGAAGCAGGAGTGGCATCTACTTCCTAAAAAACATGCCTCTGGAAACTGTATGAACTTGGATAAATATCAACAGTTGTAGAGGGGTTTCAGGCCTTTTGTTCACAGGGTCGCTATGAGTCATGCTTGACTTGACGGCAATCAACAACAACATACATTATAAAAATCATTAAGAAACCTAAAGTAAGTAAAAAATGTTAATGTTAAATTATGACTTCAACAATATTTCTAACTGCTTTCTGGAAATTTAAACTCAACATTCCGGAATCTAAACTCTTCCACTATCACCAAAGAAGTTCTCATTACCTCTCCCACCTTCTCACTCCAGCATAATGAATAGTTTTCTATGAAAGGTCTCAATCATTTTAAAAACCATAAACCTAATTCAAAGTTTAGACCATACAGTCCTGAGGATACATTTTTTCTCCTTAAATAGATCCCTTTTTATTTTATCCATAACATCTACAACTTGTTATGTGTCATCAAGTCGAGAAAGACTCATAGAGACCCTGTGCACAGTAGCTCTGAACCCTGCTCTATCCTGAGCCAATCACACTGTCTCTGACACACGTACCCTCATTACCCATCACTGTGTCAATCCATCTCATCTAGGATCTTCCTCTTCTGCATTGTCCCTCAACCCTTCCAAGCATAACATCTTTCTCCAAACACTGGTCTCCTGGCTACAGCCCAAACAAAGTGAGACAGTCTCAAGATCCTTGCCTCCAATGAACAGCTTTGTTTCTCTGTTCTGAGGACTGACCTGTTAGTTATTCTCTGCCGTTAGCTTCTCTTCTCTACAATCCATCAACCTGAAGCAGAAATATTTTTCTAGACATGTCTCTATCCTCTAGTGACAGAGGACTGCTCAAAGTTCCTTAAGCATGTTGTACTTTTACCACTTTGCTTTTGCTGTGTTTTATGATTGTGATGCCTATCTCTACTCTTGCAGTCTTCTTGGGATAAAATCCTACTAATATATCCAGCAATCTAAGTTTAAAATGCTCTCTACAAAGTATTCTTCAATTCTTCTAGACCAGGGATTGAGAAATATTTCCTATAAATGTTCAAATCATAAGTATTTGGTTTTATGTACTATAAAGATCTGTGACAACTACTTAATTCTGTCATAACAGCACCAAAGCGGCATAAAAGAAGGGACACGGCTGTATACATGTGGCCTAGATTTGGCCTAAGGCTTACACTCCTGCCATAGACAAAATTACAATTTACTACATGAAATCAGCTTGTTCTCATCTATATTTAAATTCTATATTCTCTGAAAGAAGGAACATTTAGTAACATTAAGTAATTCCTTTCCCTAGCACAGGACCTAACAATAAAAAAGTCAACACAAATTTAGCAAAAAAAAAAAAATTTGCTAAATGAGTAAAATATTCAGCATGTCCGGCAAGTAAGTACAATCAAAATAAAAATGTAATATTCTATTCTAAATATTAAAATAAGTAGTAGGTATCAAAATAAGATTACTCAGAGGAGGACTCCTAACTACACAGACTGGCACAGTGACTGCAACAATGGGCTCAAACAAAGCAGAAACTGGAATGGTGCATACTCAGGCAGGGCTTCATTCTGTTCTGCTGTAGACAGAGTTGCGCTAAGTCTGAGCCGACTCCATGGCACCTAACAACAACCATCGATTTACCTTGGTTTTATTTTAAAGGCAGCAATTTCTAAAACACTAGCTTTAGCTTTACATTCTAAAATTATTGAATATATTGTTATTACATTTTTTACTTTAGGAGTAATCCTGTTTTAATTAATTCTGTTTTTACTAATGCCAGCATTCATCATCCACAAATAGCTCTCGAACAGAACCTTTTGGCAATAATAAATACATAAAACTAGAGACTCAAATGTTTTGATTAGTCACTTGTCCTAAAGTATGAAATATATATTTATCTGCAGTCACGTATTATTTTAAAAGTACAAAAGGGGAGACTACATAATTCCTGACTGTGTAATTTCTAATCTGTAGTAAAGTTCTAATAGAAAATGGTCTTCTCAACAGGTTGCTTTAAGACAGCTAATGGATATGCTAAACCTGTATTTGTTTATCTTTGAATCGAGCTGAAACGTAGCTATTACCATTTAATCTAAAACAAAGAAGTACTTTTGCTCTATTACTAACAGAGAAGATGGGTGACAAATAAAGCTTTAAGTGGCATAAGACTCGTTTTAAGTATTACTAAAATACTTATTACTAAAATAAATTAAAAATTAAATATTTAAAATTATATTCACTTAAAATCTGTCTGCCAAAGGTAACGAAAACAATGATACAGTACTTAAAAGTCTATAAAAAGAAAATTATCAAAGTAGAGAGCTTTTTATGTCCAGGTCCTTTGCAGTCAATGATAATGTTGTTATGTGCCCTCCAGCCAACTACAATTCAGAGCGATCTTATGTATGTAAGATGGAGTTTCAAAGTTTTGTTTCCAAAGAGCAATCTGGTTTCACCTTCCCCAGGACAGACCTGTTTGTTTTCATGGCAGTCTATGGTATGTTCAATACTCATTCTCCAGCACCAAAACTCAAAGGTATCAATTTTTCTTCTGTTATCCTTAGTCACTTATCCAGCTCTTAAATGGACAGCATCCAACTGAGAAGACTTGGATCAGGCACATCTTATAGCACTTAATATGTAGAAGGCACAACATCCCTAGCTAAGTATTTTACATAATTTATCCTCCCAAGAATCCTATTAGACAGTACTAAATCTCCCCATTTTACAGTTGAGAAAAATGAAGCACAGAAAATGACCAAGTTACACAACTACTCAGTGGAAAATCCAGTACCTGAATCCAAGAAATCTAGTGTCTAAGTAATCCAGGCTAAACCACTACACTATATATTAAATGTACCTCAATTACAGATCTGCCTTAATATTACCATTTCCACTAAAATGTTAACACCTTATTTCTAGAAATAATCTAAGCTGAAACTTGGAATACTGTGACTATAAACTACTCGAGAGTCCCCACAATGAACAAATAAAAGTGGTTCTCTTCCTCCACTCAAGTAAATAATTCTACAAATTCGTGAACAAAAAGAATATGTTTCCTGAAAAACCAAACCTATTTTGAACTGTAATTTTTTTTACACACAAATTGATTGTGGGTTCTCTTTTAAATTAACCCCTTACTTTCTTCTCATCTCACTCCCTTGTTTGTGTTTTCAAATGTAGAAAAAACTTACTAATGCTGTGAATCTCATCATTGTGTTTTACGATCTCTTTTTTGCATGGGCTCTTTTCCATAATGCCTCTTAATGAATACTTAAAACAAAAGGGATGTTTATATGAACATAATTGAATTTGCTCTCAAATTTTAAAACACATCCAAAAATAACTCTATGTGATATGTTTATATAGTATAAAGTGATCTGACAATGGTTTAGAAAACTTAAGTTGTAAAAGTACATCTTTAAAATACATCTGAATATTTATATATTATATGCATAATACTGTCAGCCTAAAAGCAAGGAGTTCAAATCTATTAGTTACTCTACAGAAGGAAGATGGGCTATCTCCCCCCCCCCACTCCGCGAGTCACAGCCTCTGAAAACCTATTGAGCGTCATCAACTACGATTCACACTCTGACTTGATAGCAATGACTAACAAACGCAATATACCTAAGTTATAGTAGCAACAATGTCTTTGTCTTAAAGAACATTTCTTTTCAAATCAATAACTCATTAAAATCAAATACATAAAATTCCAACCACTTTAAGCCCTCAGTGCAGTATCTTCGGTTGATTTTCCTAAAACATTGTCTTCTACTTTCAGTCATTCCTTTCCCCAATCCCAATTCCTTAGAGAGATCAGATCAAGGACATCCAGAAAATGTGCCCTTTCCTACATTTTATCAACCAGAAAACATACATTTCTTTTACAGTCGAAGATACCTACTGCCACCAATTTTTAATTCTTCCACTTTGCCAACAAATACCACATAAAAGAAAATCTTCAAGCAAAACTTTACAAACAATAACAAACTTTTTATTTAACTGAGAAAAACCTATTTGATAACCTTTTCAGTTTTAAGATGGAAACACACTCTATTTACATATTTCCATAAAGTTACAAAATAATTCTTTACTTAGAATCATGATAATAAAATTATTTCAAAAATAGGTAAATGCCAGAGAAAAACTGTAAATATTCTTAGAAAAAAAATATACAAAATAGAAATATTTGAACAAGTATCACACACAGCAATGTTCTGTAACAAACTTAATAACCTAGAGAATTGAAAAAAAAATAATACTGTTATTAATAAGAATTTCCTAACAATTGCTATTTTTAATGACTATTAACATACACACCAACTTCATTAAAATCTTCAAAGGTGATTTTTCCTGTGGCTTCTCGGTCATAGTCTTTAAGAATCTTCAGTACATCAGCTTTTTTAACATCAAACCCCAAAGCTCTCATTGCCACCTTTTGGATTAAAAGGGAAAAGCAAATTATAAAGCACTCTTTACCAAGGTGATTTCTAATGCTTAAGTAAGTTTATATCTTAGGAGATGATAGTATGCAAATAAGACACTTCATTCTTTTCTATGTTGTCTCAAAAAAAAAAAGTCACATATTGACTGTAATTGTGTTTCACTATTGAAATTAAATGGAAAATTTTTGCCATGTATTTTGTCTTTGTATGACAAATCAAAACAGCACATTATCATCCAATGCATGAACTTGGTTTAGTGTACAAATAATTTTAAAAAGCCATCTGTTTGCAAGGGAATGACAACTGAAATAGAGGAAAGACGGGGCGTAAATGCTGAAAAGTTATACAATAAAATATGAGAACATTAAAATACAAATTATCATTAGCTTTTACAAAATTAGTTAATAAGTAATCCAAGAGTCTCAGTTCGTCAGAAGAAGCAATACAGTTTAGGAGTAACAAAGGAGACAAGCTACTAGTTTTGATGTCTCTGAGCTGTCGTACTGAAAAAGAGTAATGAACACACCATGCGAAGAGAACAGGTCTATTACGAAGAGGGTGGAATCAAGTTTCTCTTTGGAGGCAAGGATTTTGAAGCTCTGTCTCACATACTTTGGGCACGTGGCAAGGAGGGACTGGTCTTTGGAAAAGGACATCATGCTTGGAAAGGAGAAGGGACAGTGTAGGAGAGGAAGACCCTGGATGAAATGGATTGACACAGTGACTGGGGTCATGGGGTTTGATGTGTCAGTCAGGAATTGGCTCAGGACAGGGAAGGGTTCAAAGAAGTTGTGCACAAGGGCACAAGGCAACTCGAGGACAGCATTCAGAGAGAATTCAGTTGTTCCTTGACAGGTGGATGAAGAGCTTAGAATGGCATTTGCGGGGTGGGGGGGAGGAAGAATAGTATTAAAACATCAATGCAAAGAATAAAGTTGAGGGAAAATGAACAGGAACACTTACCTGATCTAAAGGGGAAGAGTTCAGGCAGAAAATAGTAAATGAGAATAGAATGTGGTAGTTAAGTGTATAGGAAGAGTTCAAAAGAAAGGTATCTAAACTTTATGCAGTGTGCCCTAAAGATTTACATGGAAAAAGAATTTCAGAAAAATGAAAATTAATGGTAGTATGCATACTGGGTGATCTACAAGTGGAGAAACCATTTAGGAATTTTCAGGTCTAAGGTCACTCAAATCAAAATAACAAGGAGCAAGAATGGAAAAAGTTACTGAATCTAGGAACTAAAAAAAAAGCTTTGGAAAGAGATTAATTAAACCTCAAGAGATAGCCAGCCTTACAGACTGATTTTACTTATCAATCCTATTACCCTTCCTCCTACTCAAAATTCTAGTACTCAAAGATCCCTTAAAGCATTATAAAATTAAAACTATCAAGTAAATATTTATATTAACTTATCTATGTAAGCTAATTTTGTTGACATTTGAGGTTGTGCTGGATTGTAAAATGAAAGATCAGTAGTTCAAACCCAGGAGTCACTCCACAGGAAAAAGGAAATGTCCAGTTATTTACAGCCTCTGAAAAGACTGCAGATCATCCTAATTGGAATGATTCAATGATAGTAGATTATCTATGAAGGCTACCTGAAATTGCCTCCAAAAATTCCACTCTATAATGTGGAACCACATAAAATTTTTCAGAACACAACGGAGATAATTAATGTCACTCTGAATTGTACCATGTACAGATTGTCAAAATATGAAATATACTGCTGCATATACATATTTACCACAATATTTTAGAAACCAATTGAGCACCAATTTCCCCTGGTAGGATTTGCTGTATTTGGCTAACAAATGAGCTGTTGACTGGAAGCCTCTTGTTTAGAGACAATCAGGGCCTAGGGCATGAGACTAGGTATTGAAAAGTTCTGGGTTTTGAAAAAATAGATTGGGCCCTTAGACATACAGTCCTCGGGTCCAGTTTTGTGTTAAGAAAGAACATTCTTGTAAGTACTGGTCAGTCAGTTTGCTAGCCCCACTAAGGTTACTTGGTGTTGCTATGATACTGAAGGCTGTGCCTCTAGTATGTCAAATGCCATAATGGTAACCCATAGTGGACAGTGTTTGGTGGAGCTCCCAGATTAAGACAGGCTTGGAAGCAGGAGTGGCATCCACTTCCTAAACATGCCTCTGGAAATGCTACGAACTTACAGAAACAACAGTTATAGCATTCAGGTCTTTGGTTCACAGGGTCGCTATGAGTCCTGCTTGTTTCAAGATGGCATTTAACACAGGTTTAGAAATAATTCTGGCCTTAAAATTCATTGTTTTCCAATTAGCACTGTGCCTAGCCTAGTGGTAAAGATTGTTGCTAACTCAAAGGCACATGGTTCAAATCCACTAGCTCCTAGCAGGAGAGAGAAAGGCAATCTCCTCCTGTAAAATTTATTGCCTCTGAAAACTCATTAAAGGGTCAACTATAAGTAGGTTCCCATTCTAGGATACATAACAACAAGCACCTTGACATCAGGAATTACATTGTTTGCATCAGAGAGAACGCTAACATTTTAAGGGGGGGGGGGGAATAACACAGTCTCAATTTGGAAAAAAGTATGAATCACACTAATAATACAAAGGGAAAAATTCAATAAAAACTTTAAATTTCATTGACTGAATAATGTATCTTTCACAGGAACATAGGAAAATTTTAAAATACTATTTAAAATTCCTTGTAGCATGTAAAAAGTATTTTCTAAAAGATATTCCGTTTTAACAATTTACTATGAATGCTTAAAATGGCTTCATACTTCCAAAACCAGTTTAATTTAAAAATCTAGAAATGTAATTATAAATATGCAAATATTTTAAGTATACTGTTACCTTTAACTCGTGATAATCTATTGCTTCATCTTTGTCTGTATCAAACAGCTCAAAAGCATCTTTAATTTCTTGCTTCTGTTCCTCAGAAAGCTCTCTCCTTTTTTTCCTTTTTGTTTTGTCTACTACAAGCTCATTTCTATGAAGTAGAAAGAAAAAAGTAGTCCACTTTAATTCTATTCTCTTACACCTCTAAAATGACTACAATAAGACTGCAAAAAAAAACAACAAAAAATTACCCAATGACGTTTTCCCATAAAAGGACGTGTGAGAATGATAAAGAATTATATGGGTCAATGCTCTGTCCCAAGTTTCTATAAATCTTCCCCTTCTTAAAACTGAAGGGTTTGTTTTTTTTAAAAAAATAAGGATCTTGGGGGGGGGAGGGAGGGCTGGGCAGGGAGAAAAGTGAATGGAAATCCAAAATTTCTGTAAATGTTCATTAAAATTATTAAACTAAAATTTAAGAAAAAAATGAGGATCTTTCTTCACAGCTATGGTGTGTAAGGTCATTACTTGAGAGGAGGCTGCACTACTTGTAAGATAAATATATTTTTTAAAAATGAGGATCTTTCGGTTCTGCTAACTTTGTTGTTAGTTCCCATAAATATTACCGTGCGGATTTTCAAAGGCTGTTAATCACACGCCTCAAACCTAATGCCTTCAGAACTGCAATTCAACTTCTTGCCACTAGGCCACCAGAATTCCCTAATACTATTGGTGCTGTTGTTGTCATGTGCTGTCGAGTCGCTTGAGACTCATAGAGACCCTTTGTACAATAGCCCTAAACTCCGCTCTGTCCTATACCAATATCACTGTCTCAGACACACTCACCTCGATTACACCAGTCACTGAATCAATCCACCTCATAGAGGGTCTTCCTCTCCTGCACTGTCCCTCTACCCTCCCAAGTCTGACGTCCTTCCCCAAAGACCAGACCCTCCTTGCAACATGTCCAAAGTATGTCAGACGAAGCTTCAGAGTCCTTGCCTCCAAGGAGCAGCCTAGTTTCACCATCTCTAGGACAAACCTGTTTTGTTCTCCTACCAGTCCATTCAATACTCTTCTCCAGCATCACAGCTCAAAGGCATCAATTCTCCTTCTATCCTCCCTAAGTCATTGTCCAGCTCTCTGATGCATAACAAGTGATTGCAAAGATCATGTGTGTGTGTGGGGGGGGGAGGGTGGACTATGACCAAAAATAATCAACTTCAGTCAGAAATCTCAAAAAGTAAAGCAAACTTAATATTCACATCAACTAACAGTACTTTCAAAATTCTAAAAAATTAAAATTCGTAATTGATGAAATATTTTTGGTCTGATTTACTTTTCATAGTACTTTTGTCTCAAAAATAATGCAAAAGAGAAGGCCTAGTGGCAAGATGCTACACTGCAATCCCGAAGGCGCGGGTTCAGACGCTCTGCTGGAGAAGACGCAATTTTCTCTTGTGCCAGTCGTATCCGACTCGGTGGTATACAAGAAAAAACAAATATGCAAAAGAATTATTATCAATTCACTTATAAGGTATTTTGGAACTATAGGTTCAAAATGTTTTTAAATTGCATGCACCTAACAATTTGGTACTTTGATGTAATCCACTACAAGTTCAAAAACGGCTTGGCTGATATTAATTAATGAGTCAAAATATTGATTCTACACATATCACAAATAATAAAAGTCAAGAAGTACATATACTATGCTAATTCTATATAATATAAAGTGTCAATGGTCTCCTAGTCTCATTTAGCATGTAAATTACAGTTTAAATTTCTCATCACAAACTTTGGAAAAGGTTAAGGGATAATTAAAGCAAAATTTCTTTCAAAAGCCAGAAGCGATGCCAATCTAAACGTGATCCAAATTTTGAAGCGCAAATGCAACACACAAAAACAAATTTTGAGGGGAAAAACTTGCAAAACTTTCAAATGTAAAATTCTGTTGGTATTATTAGACCACATATTAGCACGTGAAAGTTGTTTTGGTCTCGTAAATCGACACAATCATAGTAAGAGATTACTAGAAAGTGACCAAGAGGTAAGGAATAAAGCTCTTTTACGAGACACCTGACTTCACACAAGGTGGGACATCACCAGATCAATCAATCATTATCATGCCAATAATTTCAAGAGGACACGTCTACAACCCACCGACCCTATCCAATACCACAAATAACCCACGAACACAGAAGAGCACTTGTTTGAGCGTCATAAGTACAGTGTCCTTTTTTTTTTTTCAAGGGCTGAGAGGAAGGGAACAAGTGGAGCGGGAAGGTTAAGGCTACAAATAAAAGGGAAAATCAAGGAACTCAGGAAATTCACGGCAGATGGCCAATTAATATAACCGGGTCTCCAATCTTACGGCAAAGTAGGGTCCTGGGAAAAGACCAAGTTGTGTGTTCTTTCTAAAAGCTACAAGTGAATGATTACGTGAGTAATTTTAACTAATAAGGTTGGAGCCTGCGCTTCAGCAGGATGTGAATGAAGAGATGAGAAATGACCCAACACCTCACAAAAAACCCAAGTAGAGGCCTCGCGGTATTTCACACTCGCTCTCAAATACAACCACCAGGGCTGTTTGGTAGTCTAGAAAAGACCAAATGAGCACCTTAACCGAAATGCACGGGGCTGATGACCAAGCGCCCCCAGCACAAAGGTCTGGAGATACGAAAAGTTAACTAAGGTTCCGTTCCCGCCCCTCTCCCCCTCCCAAACTACCTCCCCATCCTCTGTCCAAACTGCCTACTTTCCGCAACCTTACACACACCCCTGGGTCCCGCTCCTAGTGTGGAAAGCATAGCCTCTTCCACATTACCGACCTCAGAGCTAAACTCATTTTCTCTCCGGACAAAGGTGTTCCTCACAACAACGACCTTAACCCCCTATCCAATACAGAGAAACCTGGAAAAGCCGTTTAACATCAAACGCTTTGGCGGCCTTAAGGACCACCCACATGAAAATGCTTCTAAGCTTGATTGGTTGAAAATTATTAATGTCCTGCCCATTAGGACGCAGCCATGGTCATTCTGTGTTTTCATTGGACAGTTTTAACGTCAACCAAAGAAACGTCCTTGCTCTGCTCGCTCTTGTTACTCCTTAGGCCTTTGGATTGGCTGGATGCTTTTTCCCGGAATCCTTTGCGGGGTCAGGATCTGAGAGTTTCAGTAGTAAGGCCGTAGGCGGCGGAGCCAATTATGTTCCAAGCATGTTTGCGCTCATAAGCTAGCAACCCTGGTGAACTAGTGTAGCTCTGAAGAAGGGAAACTTGCACGCTTGCTGCAAACTATCTCCCAGCTAGACTGAGGGAGCAGCTAGGTCACCTTACGAAACATGGCGCCACTGTGTGCCGAAAATGTGGATAGTCTAAGTAGCTGGGCAGTTTGTTTTGAATATAGATGCACTCCCTTTACCTTCCTTCTTGTTCCACCAGGTAAAGATCTGCATTTCCCCCTTAAATATGTTCCATTCGAAGCAGGAGCTTACTGGGTTACTTGAAAATTACACTTAGCTGACCGCCCCCCTCTTCCTTCTTGGAAAGAATTTGGTTTGGTTTTTGTGGGTTTTTGTCTCATTCTTTTTTAGTGTCTTTGCACAGGTGGTATAGCATAGCACTGGTCTGTGCATTGCTGTACAGAGGTAACTCGTGGTTGCTGTGATGCTGACCACTGTGACACTGATGTGCCAAACGTGGTAATGGGTACCCCTGGTGGACAGTTTGCTGGAGCTTCCCGACTAAAACAAGCCTGGAAGCAGGAGCGGCATCCAAAATGGCTTGCCTCCGGAAACCCTATGAACAATGCTCAGGCCTTTCTTTCATTGGGTCGCTATGAGTCGTCTACTATCCGACGGCACCAAACAACAACAGCAACATGCAGTTTACCAGGATACAGCAAGATTTAGGCCTCTTGTACATAGGGTCGCTGTGAGTCTCAAGTGACTCTGCCGCACATAACAACAAAGCTGTACATACACATGATGGATGTTTCCTTTACTACCGAAGCTTGATGCACATTTGAATAATGGGGCAGGTGCTTCATTTCCCTTAACTGTGCTAAATGTCTTGAAGGCCAGAATTATGTCTTCATTTAATTCTTCCAAATACCCTTCTTTCTCTGATGCATTGTTTGCTCGTAAGTAGTATTCACCTTTCATGGAAAGACTACATTAAATTCCTGGCCAGTGTACCTCAAACTCACCGTCTACCTGCCTGATAATGTGTGTTACAATGTTAAATAGAGCTCTGGTGGGCTAGAGCTAAGAACCTGCATTGTTGTTTGTTGTTGTTGTTGTTATGTGCCATCGAGTCCCTTGCGACTCGTAGCTACTCTATGTACAAGAGCCCTAAACTCCATTCTATCCTGTGCCAACCTCGCCTTCTGGAACACACTCATTCCCACCAATCCACTCACAGAATCAATCCATCTCATCGAAGGTCTTCCTCTCCTGCGCCGTCCCTCCACTCTCCCGAACATGATGTCCCTCTCCAAGGACCAGTCCCTCTTTGCAACATGCCCAAAGTATGTCAGAGGAAGCTTCAGAATCCTTGACTCCAAGGAGCATTCTAGCTTCACCCTCTCCAGGACAAACCTATTTGTTCTCCTAGCAATCCATGGTATATTCAACACTCTTCTCCAGCACCACAGCTCAAAGGCATCAATTCTCTTTCTATCAACCCTATTAACTGTCCAACTCTCTGATGCATAGCCTGGATCAGGCACACCTTAGTCTCCAGTCTGACATCGCTGCTCTTCAGTACTCTTGAGAGGTCCCTCACATGACTTTCCCAATGCAATTTGTCTCCTGATTTCCTGGATGCCGTTACCAAAACTGTTGACTGTGGAGCCAAGTAAACTATCTCAATCCCTTCACCATCCATCATGATGCTGTCAATTGGCCCAGTGGTGAGAATCTTTGTTTTCTTGATGTTGAGCTTCAATCCATACTGAAGACAGCAGTCCTTGACCTTCTGCAACAAGCGCTTCAGGTCCTCCTCAGTTTCAGCAAGTAGGGTTGTGTCATCTGCATAACGCAGGTTGTTGATGATTCTTCCAATCCTGATGCCACATTCTTCCTCGTACAGCCCAGCATCTTGGATGATCTGTTCTGCATACAGATTGAAAAAGCATGGAGACAGAATACATCCCTGACGGACCCCCTTCTTGATTTTGAAAAGGTACTCAGAGTCCACCAGCTGCTCCAAAGGAGCAATGGGCAATATTCTGTGGATTTTACTACTTCTGAAAACCTGGTAGTAGATCATATATGGGTGGTTTTGAATAGACAGTACACAACAATGCTGTTGAATAGCCTATCTTCTAGGCTAAGTAAGACTAGGGAAGGAAGGCATGGTTATCTTATTTAGAAAAATCAGCCAATAAACACTTTATAGATCAGAACCTATTGTAATGGAGTCCCTGAAAGTTAGAGGCCAACTCAATGGCAGCTAACAATACACATACAGTGCCTGATGCATAATAAATACATGCACAATGCATAGACTTATATGAAGAATACTAAGCTAAGTATCAAAGTTCATAAAGCATGAATAAAAGCTTGGGACAGTTGGAGTGGATGAGGAAAACTTATAAACACTACTATAAAGTGGAAAGGCAATACACAATAAGAAAATTAGATATTGTAATTAATTATATTAATCATGGTAATTTATGCTATAAAACAAAATTATTACGTGAAAAATCAATTTGACTTAACCTTCACTCAAATATATATACAATTGATCAAATGCAAAATAGGTGATAAAAAATAAGGTAAAGGAGCTTCCATGGCAAAGTGCATTTCATATCATACTGCTGACTGAAAATAAGAGCATCTTTGTGGCCTAACAGTTGAGTTGCACTGCCAACCAAAAGGCAGGTGGCTTGAACCTACTAGCAACTCCATGAGAGGAAATGGACAGTTTCTTCAAATAAAGATTTACAGGTTATGATAGTCAGAATCAGCTTGACAGAATATGATGCAGGAAGAGTTCTAGTGGTATAATGTATGCATTTGACCCAAGCCGTGCTATCGGTTGTTTGCTTTGCATTTGAAAACTGGGCAATGACTAAGGATAACACAAGAAGAATCGATGTCTTGGGGTTTTGATATTGGAAACAGTAGTAAATATCTCATGTACTACCAAGAAAAGAAATAGGTCTCTCTTGGATTAACTGAAACTAGGGTCTTCCTTGGAGGCAAGAATGGTGAAACTGCATCTCACATAACTTTGACATGTAGTTAAGAGGGAGAAGAAGATCATGCTAAGAAAGGTAGAGGAAAAGATGGAGAGTATAAGAAAGGAAAACCCACGACAAGATGAATTGAAATAGTTACTATAACAATGTGCTCAAGAGTGTTGGAGATTGTGAAGATGAAACAGGATAAAGCAGGGTTCAGATCCACTGTTCATAGAGTCACATAAGACACAGTTGACTCGTGGGCACATAATACAAAGTGTGTTAAATAATTGAGCTGGTACCTGAAAAGTCCATTGTTCAGATCCACCAGCTACCAGCCAGTCTGTGGGAAAACAATGACACAATCTGCATCTGTTAAAGTTTATAGCCTCAAAAATTATTTATGGTCACCAGGAGTCAGAAGTAACACCACAGCAATGGGTGTCTTAAAAGAGAGAAAGCTTGGAAACAGTGGTCAAGAGCTTAGCTGCTAACGCAACAATTGGAAGTTCTGAGTGCTTCCATAATGATTTACAACCTTTGAAGCCCTCTGTAGTAGATCATCTTTGTCCAAAGGATGACTGAGTCAGAATAAACTCATATGCAATGGCATGATATGAAGAATGTATACAAGCGTTTGTTGTTATTATATACTGTCAAGTCGCCTGCAACTCTTAGCAACTCTATGCACAAAAGCCCTAAACCCTGCTCTATCCTGTGCCAATCTTACTGTCTCCAATACACCTATCCCCATTACCCCAGTGACTGAATCAATCCACCTCATAGAGGGTCTTCCTCTCCTGTGCTGTCCCTCCACCCTCAAAAGCATGACATCCTTCTCTGAGGAATGGTCTCTCCTTGCAACATGTCCAAAGTATGTCAGATGAAGTTTCAGACTCCTTGCCTGCAAGGAGCAGCCTTGTTTAACCCTCCCCAGGATGAACCTGTTCGTTTTCTTAGCAGTCCATGATATATTCAATACTCCAACACCACAGCTCAAAGGCATCAATTCTCCTTCTATCTTCCCTAGTCATTGTCCAGCTCTCTAATGCATAGCAAGTGATTGCAAAGATCATAGCCTGTATCAGGCACATCTTAGTCTCCAGAGTGACAATATTGCTCTTCAGTACGTTGGAGAGGTCCCTAACAGCAGACTTTCCCATTGTAATACGTCTTTTAATTTTTGGCTACTGGTGCCAAGAGTGTTGACTGTGGAGCCAAACAAACTAAAGCTGTTAACAATCTCAATTTCTTTCACCATCCATCCCGATCTTGCCAATTGGCCCAGTGGTGAGAATCTTTGTCTTCTACTATTCCTTTTTCATTGTTTCCAACTTTTGCATTCCATTCACTCTAATCATATTAATGCATCTTGATTGCATATTCTGGCAATTTAAGACTGCAAGATCTGGTAAAAAAATTTCAATTTCTTTCTCTTTAGTTCCAGATGTAGGAGTATATATTTGAATAATAGTGGTATTAACATGCGTTAACATGTGTATGGATAAAATCTTATCACTCACAGCAATTTATTTCAGGATAGAACTTGAAATTGACTTTTTGACTATGATTGCAACATCATTTTCTGTTTTTTCATTTTCAGCATAGTATACCATGTGATTATCTGATCCAAAGTGGCCAAAGGTAATCCATCTCATCTCACTAATGTTAGAATATCAATGTTCATGTGCTCCATTTCATTTTTCATAATTTCTAGTTTTCCAACATTCAAGCTATGTTCTAATTACCGTGTTCTAATTACCAAAAGATGTTTGTCA